TGGTTTGGAAACCGTTATGAGATGGTTAGAGGACATACATGACTATGAGTTTAGATATGACAAAACATGTACGATGAAATCATGACAAAACATTTACGAAGAAGTCTTGACAAAACATTTACGATGAAGTCTTGACAAAACATGTACGATGAAATCATGACAAAACATTTACGAAGAAGTCTTGACAAAACATGTACGAAGAAGTCTTGACAAAACATGTACGATGAAGTTTTGACAAAACATTTACAAAGAAGTCTTGACAAAACATATACGAAGAAGTCTTGACAAAACATTTACGAAGAAGTCTTGACAAAACATGTACGATGAAATCATGACAAAACATTTACGATGAAGTCTTGACAAAACATTTACGAAGAAGTCTTGACAAAACATTTACGAAGAAGTCTTGACAAAACATTTACGAAGAAGTCTTGACAAAACATGTACGATGAAATCATGACAAAACATTTACGATGAAGTCTTGACAAAACATGTACGATGAAGTTTTGACAAAACATTTACGAAGAAGTCTTGACAAAACATTTACGAAGAAGTCTTGACAAAACATTTACGAAGAAGTCTTGACAAAACATGTACGATGAAATCATGACAAAACATTTACGAAGAAGTCTTGACAAAACATGTACGATGAAATCATGACAAAACATTTACGAAGAAGTCTTGACAAAACATCTACGAAGAAGTCTTGACAAAACATTTACGAAGAAGTCTTGACAAAACATTTACGATGAAGTCTTGACAAAACATTTACGATGAAGTCTTGACAAAACATGTACGATGAAATCATGACAAAACATCTACGAAGAAGTCTTGACAAAACATTTACGAAGAAGTCTTGACAAAACATGTACGATGAAATCATGACAAAACATTTACGAAGAAGTCTTGACAAAACATGTACGATGAAATCATGACAAAACATTTACGAAGAAGTCTTGACAAAACATGTACGAAGAAGTCTTGACAAAACATGTACGATGAAGTTTTGACAAAACATTTACGAAGAAGTCTTGACAAAACATATACGAAGAAGTCTTGACAAAACATTTACGAAGAAGTCTTGACAAAACATTTACGAAGAAGTCTCGACAAAACATTTACGAAGAAGTCTTGACAAAACATTTACGAAGAAGTCTTGACAAAACATTTACGAAGAAGTCTTGACAAAACATGTACGATGAAATCATGACAAAACATTTACGAAGAAGTCTTGACAAAACATGTACGATGAAATCATGACAAAACATTTACGATGAAGTCTTGACAAAACATTTACGATGAAATCATGACAAAACATTTACGATGAAGTCTTGACAAAACATTTACGATGAAATCATGACAAAACATTTACGAAGAAGTCTTGACAAAACATTTACGAAGAAGTCTTGACAAAACATTTACGATGAAGTCTTGACAAAACATGTACGATGAAATCATGACAAAACATTTACGATGAAGTCTTGACAAAACATGTACGATGAAATCATGACAAAACATTTACGAAGAAGTCTTGACAAAACATTTACGATGAAATCATGACAAAACATTTACGAAGAAGTCTTGACAAAACATTTACGAAGAAGTCTTGACAAAACATTTACGATGAAGTCTTGACAAAACATGTACGATGAAATCATGACAAAACATTTATGAAGAAGTCTTGACAAAACATGTACGATGAAATCATGACAAAACATTTACGAAGAAGTCTTGACAAAACATGTACGATGAAATCATGACAAAACATGTACGATGAAATCATGACAAAACATGTACGATGAAATCATGACAAAACATTTACGATGAAGTCTTGACAAAACATTTACGAAGAAGTTTTGACAAAACATTTACGAAGAAGTCTTGACAAAACATTTACGAAGAAGTCTTGACAAAACATTTACGAAGAAGTCTTGACAAAACATGTACGATGAAATCATGACAAAACATTTACGAAGAAGTCTTGACAAAACATGTACGATGAAATCATGACAAAACATTTACGAAGAAGTCTTGACAAAACATCTACGAAGAAGTCTTGACAAAACATTTACGAAGAAGTCTTGACAAAACATTTACGATGAAGTCTTGACAAAACATTTACGATGAAGTCTTGACAAAACATTTACGAAGAAGTCTTGACAAAACATGTACGATGAAATCATGACAAAACATGTACGATGAAATCATGACAAAACATTTACGAAGAAGTCTTGACAAAACATATACGAAGAAGTCTTGACAAAACATGTACGATGAAATCATGACAAAACATTTACGAAGAAGTCTTGACAAAACATGTACGATGAAATCATGACAAAACATTTACGAAGAAGTCTTGACAAAACATGTACGATGAAATCATGACAAAACATTTACGAAGAAGTCTTGACAAAACATCTACGAAGAAGTCTTGACAAAACATTTACGAAGAAGTCTTGACAAAACATTTACGATGAAGTCTTGACAAAACATTTACGAAGAAGTCTCGACAAAACATGTACGATGAAGTTTTGACAAAACATTTACGAAGAAGTCTTGACAAAACATGTACGATGAAATCATGACAAAACATTTACGATGAAGTCTTGACAAAACATGTACGATGAAGTTTTGACAAAACATTTACGAAGAAGTCTTGACAAAACATTTACGAAGAAGTCTTGACAAAACATTTACGAAGAAGTCTTGACAAAACATGTACGAAGAAGTCTTGACAAAACATTTACGAAGAAGTCTTGACAAAACATGTACGATGAAGTCTTGACAATAAAAACATGTTACGAAGAAGTCTTGACAAAACATGTACGAATGAAAGTCTTTGACAAAACATGTACGAAGAAGTCTTGACAAAACATTTCGAAGAAGTCTTGACAAAAACATTTACGATGAAGTCTTGACAAAACATTTACGATGAAGTCTTGACAAAACATTTACGATGAAGTCTTGACAAAACATGTACGATGAAATCATGACAAAACATCTACGAAGAAGTCTTGACAAAACATTTACGAAGAAGTCTTGACAAAACATGTACGATGAAATCATGACAAAACATTTACGATGAAGTCTTGACAAAACATGTACGATGAAATCATGACAAAACATTTACGATGAAGTCTTGACAAAACATTTACGAAGAAGTCTTGACAAAACATGTACGATGAAATCATGACAAAACATGTACGATGAAATCATGACAAAACATTTACGAAGAAGTCTTGACAAAACATATACGAAGAAGTCTTGACAAAACATTTACGAAGAAGTCTCGACAAAACATATACGAAGAAGTCTTGACAAAACATTTACGAAGAAGTCTTGACAAAACATTTACGAAGAAGTCTTGACAAAACATGTACGATGAAATCATGACAAAACATTTACGATGAAGTCTTGACAAAACATGTACGATGAAATCATGACAAAACATTTACGATGAAGTCTTGACAAAACATTTACGAAGAAGTCTTGACAAAACATTTACGAAGAAGTCTTGACAAAACATTTACGAAGAAGTCTTGACAAAACATTTACGATGAAGTCTTGACAAAACATGTACGATGAAATCATGACAAAACATTTACGAAGAAGTCTTGACAAAACATTTACGAAGAAGTCTTGACAAAACATGTACGATGAAATCATGACAAAACATGTACGATGAAATCATGACAAAACATTTACGAAGAAGTCTTGACAAAACATTTACGAAGAAGTCTTGACAAAACATTTATGATGAAGTCTTGACAAAACATATACGATGAAATCATGACAAAACATTTACGAAGAAGTCTTGACAAAACATATACGAAGAAGTCTTGACAAAACATTTACGAAGAAGTCTTGACAAAACATATACGAAGAAGTCTTGACAAAACATGTACGATGAAATCATGACAAAACATTTACGAAGAAGTCTTGACAAGATAGAATATGAGAGAGGTCCTATAAACCGGAGAAAGTGTCATATAAACATCTGTCAAAAACCGCTTTTTAACTTCACTTAAAATGCCACGTAAGCTACGTAAGAATATACGTAAGAGGAAGAGAGCATTGAAACATCCATAGTAAAACTGACACACAACAAGTTGCAACAACAAATAATGAATGACCCCACTATGTTGCAACAAATGTCAAGCAATCCTATGCTTTTAAACCGAGTTTTTGGTGCACAGAGTGGAGGTTTAAGAGCGGCACTTTTAGCGAAAATGGCAGGCTATGGTGGAGCTGCAGACGGAACAGCATATAACCCTCAAAGTCAAATGAATTTGAGTTCACTCAAAAATCAAATAGCAGATGTCAAAAAGTCAAACATAGACATACAGAAACAAATAGTGAAAACGAAAAGAAACTAGAATATGACAGACACACAAAGAAACTCAATGAGTTAAACGTAGAGAAAAAGAAGAAAGAAGAACAACTGAAAGAACTAAGTACAGAGGAATATGCGAAAAAAGTGTCAGAAAAACAGCAGAAGTAGCAAAAATGGAACAAGATGTTGTAAATTTGAAAAAACCATACTACTCAATATAAAGTACTGAAAGATGAAGAGATAAAACAAAAAGCCCTGAAGACATATATGGATAGCGATGAGTATAAAAAAGAAGTTGAAGCAAATGTAAAGGCAGAAAACTTTTACAGTTGCAAAACCAAACCGTACAGTATGAAAACTTAGCACAAGAAAGTAAAAAATAACGACGCAGCCATGCAAAAAGGCAATGAAAAGCGCAGAATATATAAAAGCTAACAATGACTGGTTAGATGCCCAAGCCAACGCCAAAGCAGCCCAACTTATAGGGTCAATAAGGACAAAAATACAAGCGGATGAAGACAGTTCAAATGAAGCTTTAACAAATGCTGACTTTAAGAACGCCTTCGAAGCTCTTCATAGTAAGGTGAAACTAGTGAACGACTTCTCATCTGGAAAGAAACTGAAGTCTGAAGGTTTCGACAAAGAGTTAAGAGAAGTAGCACAAAATATGACGAAAATAACAGATGCAGCAACGAGACAGGCAGTTCAAAGTGCCTATGACGCCGTTAGAGCAACTGTTGTGGAAAGTCAAGAAAAAGAGTTACAACAGACCAAAACAGACCTAGTAAATGCTTTCTTAAGAACGAAAAGTCAGGTAGGACATTACGCTGCAGATGGAACATATGTGCCAGCTGGTGGAACTTATATACCAGCTGGTGGAACTTATATACTAGCTAGTGGAACTTATATACCACCAAACCCTCCAAGAGAAGCACCTGCACCAGGACTACCTAAAACATTTACATCGTCACATGGACACAGACACAGGCATGCACCAAAACCAACACAACAACCACCTCCACAACCAGCACAACAACAACAACCAGCACAACAACCACCTCCACAACCAGCACAGCAACCAACAGTTCAAAACCCTGCACAACAACAACCACAAACAGCACAACAACCACCTCCACAACCAGCACAGCAACAACAACCACAAACAGAGCAAGGACATAAAAGAAGTAGAGAACAAGGAAACCAAGAATTCTTAAAAATGCTTAAAGAAGACTATGGTTACTCAGATACTATTGACTTTAGTGACAGATATAAAGAAGCTATTCGAAAGTTCAAGGAAGGAAATACTGACCCGAACCTATTTAGCTTTATGGCTCAGCACCAAATGGGATATAATTTCAAACCTGGAAAATACAAGCTCGCTAAGGGATATGATTTAATAGCATATCATCCAAATGACATGAACGAATTTACTCCGAGATATTTGGTGTCAGAGCTAAATGACAATTCAACTCTCTTCATGAAACGCGTAAAAAATAGAGACGGAACGAAAGAAGAAAGGTTTATGAGTCCGGATGACTTAGATAGGGAACTTGTTAAAAACGGTCTCGGAATATATGAAATGCCAGCAGATGAGGTACAAGAAACTCCACAGGAAGAAGTTCAGATACAACCAGACATGGAAGAAATAGTTCAGCAACAACAGCTAGAAGAGCCTGAAGGAAACGAACAAGTCCTTCCTTTGGAAACTAACTTCACAGAACTAGATGAAGATTTGGAACAGCCGAAAAATCTTGACTCTCAACAAGAGTATGAGGTGAATATGGAATCTTTCCAAGAGTCTAAGAAAAATTCGGCTGACAGAGTAGAAGAATATCGAAAAATGTTTGCCGACATACAAAAGACTCCAACACCAGATGAAAATATTCAGCATAGAATGGAAGTACTGAAAGAAAATGTACACAAATACAACAACCCTTTTTACTTACGACCATATAACGTTCAATCTTTGGCTGAACTCGGTGAAAATAAAAGGTTAAATTTCAACAAAACATATAGAAATGAAACATTGTTTAAAGTTCATTCAGAACCTAACCAAGATGGAAACAAACCTACTTTTGTTTCTGCAGACTATGGAACTACAATGAGATGGGGTCATAAAGCTAACCGGATAGGTGGTTCATAAACTTACAACCACAATTCCAAGAAGTTGTAGACGCAATGGAAGTCAATGGTGAACCAGATATAGCTGGTATTTTCAGCGCGGCTTTAATGCCATTGAAAGATATGAAAGATGCAGATATTTTGGACCAGTATGAAATGAACATGGCTGATGGAAATATAACACCTGACGTTCTAGAACATTTATCTCAAAGAACTACACAGAACCATAAAGATGGTATATTTTGGTGAAGAGTTTAGAAAGAAAGTTAGGGAGACAGAAGGAAGAGAACCTATTGTACATGACCTTGCAAACGAAAGTTTGCAAAATGTCATAAAAAACTTACTTTTGCAGACAATGAACCGAGAAGGGATGAATATTTAAGAAAACTCAAATGGACAGTACCAAATGAAATGTTAGTATTGAAAAACATGTTCCTTGACAAAATAAAACCAACTACAGAAATAAATGACGCAAGACTGAAACATTGGGTAAAAGCTTTCCCATTCACAAAAGATATTGTTGGTAACATGGAAAGAAAACCAGAATGGCTACAAAAACATATATTTGGAAACGAGCTTATTCCATATGGACAAGCTCTGTTTGAAGAGCTTGAACCGGAAACTCAGGAAAGAGTCATGCAAACAATACGCGAAGACTCAAATACAAACTATGACAAACTCTTTCTAGGATATAGGTTACCTGAGATGGGCGACCAGAGCCCAAAGGCAAAAAGGACATGGGAAATTTACAACATACTAGGTGAACATGAGGCAAAGATGCAACAACTTGAAGCAGAGGGCAAGTTACCAAAAAGCGACACCAAAGAAGAAGAGTAGAACAAAGTGAAAGTAGTGAAGAAGTAACTTCATCTAGTGAAAGTAGTGGCAATGAAGGAAAAAGAAGAGTTAAAGATTCAGTTAAAAACTTAGTCAGGAAGAAAGTAAAGCTTGGTCCGAAACAATTATGACAAATAAATCCAACTATTCTATATTTTTACCCATATGAAATGTACGCCGCTCAGAATATAACGCCAACAGTTTTGGATGCCATGAACGGAAATGTTTCCGAATGGTATAACGAATGCGACAATGCCATTAGAAGGTCAGAAATAGTTCCTGGAACTTACGAATATACAACTGCTGTTTCTTATGGAAACGTAGGTGAGTTTGGAGAAGGTTCTTCAACAACAGTAGATATTGCTTGCGACAGGTTTCATATAATTTCTATTGACAACTCATTCTTATACGTGGAACAAGACATTGAAATAAAACCTTCTGCTGACTTGAGAGGTAAGAAAGGTCAATGGTATTTTCTATGTCGGATACCAATATGCTCCAGAAGTTTTCATGGGATATAAGATATATTCTAACTCTGACTTAGTTCAAACAGTAACATGGGCAAACTATGAATGGTTCGCTTTAAGAAACTCAGTACAACCACAAGCTAGAGAACAAACAGACCAGTATGCAACTATTGAGAAAATAAGAAGACTTGACCCTAACGTTCCAGGAGTTTATGTAACCTTTCTGGTTCAGATGGAAATGCTTGCACTAAAGTAAAACTGAAACTTAGAGTTCCTTTGTCATCTTTCCTCATTTCAGGTTTTTAGATACTTGCCAAACTGGGCAGGAAAAATTTCTATTGAACTTACTCCAAGCAAAAATAACTTAGTCATTGCAACGCAAGACCCATTCACTCTTACAGACGTAAAGGGAGCAATCAAACGTCATTCGCCGAATTTTGCAAAGACAAAGTTGACTTAGACTTTGGTTTCTCAAACCTCAACACTGAAGTAAAGTATTATTTCAATGCTGCTGAACTGCTTGGGACCCAGTTAAGTTCACATGCAAACAGTTTGAATGCAAGAGAATAGAAAGCAGACTTGCAGTCTATATGTTGGACCCAGATATTTCAAATGCTTTAGCTGCCAAATATATTGCAGTTCACTTATGTTCCCTATACACCAAAATATCTGTCAAAGACTTTGCAGGTGAAGTTGGAAACCAAAATCCAGGAACCGCAGGTGCAAGAACAGATATTGCTTTAACAACTGCAATGAAACATGCAGATACTATGTTTGTATGTTCAGACGAACTATAAATGACTATTCTTGTTTCTACAACCCCGGTATTATATCATATAAACATAGATGGCAAATATTATCCAAGAGAAGAATATTCTACAGTTGAGGATATGAGGTCATACAACTTGACATTAGATGCTATGAACTTTAACAACAACTTCACAACAACCATTAACCCTGAAATGCAAAGTTCTATTATGCCATATGTGAAAGTATGGACTCATACAGGAGGTCAAAAAACTCAATATACAAATGGAGACCGTTCAAACTTTTGGCTTGGCATTCCATTTGCTGACTCAGAAGACTTTATGGTGGTATTTCAACTGTTGGTACAGTTCAAATACAATATACTGGTGACAGAGACGGTCCAGATGAATTGAAAGCAAAGAAGTTTACAAAACCAATAGCACTTTTACACGGAAGATGCTCTTTTGAAGATTCGTTCGATGAAACCTGCTGGGGCTCCTCAGATTGGCATAACGACAGCTTCCATCGAGCAGATTTTGGCAGCAGGTCAGTAAGTTGTTCTTGAACTGACTTCTCTCCGTCAAATATTGACAGTACGCAGTTTTGACATAATATTGTATTATAAACTTACCTTTAGAAATATCTGTAAGTTTTGAAGTTATATTTTTGTCTGCTTCAAGAACTTTCACCATTTCAGTTATACCAACTTTCTTTGCTTTATGAAAATATTTTGGTTCAGCAAAGACTGCTATTCTATAACATTTACCATTGTTTGTATAAAGAACTATTCTGTCAATGTATTTGTATTGTTTGTGTGTGTAAACTTTGTTTTGCTTCAATTCGAAGAGATACTCAAATACGTCCATCTTTTTATTCTAAGTAAAATGTCATTTCCGAAAATAGAAGCGTAAGTGTTTCAAAAGGTTTAATGGCGGTGGCAGATGTGAAGTTAAATTCACCAACTCAAACAAACAGTCAAAGTGTTATTGTCAATGTCAAAGAAAGAGATGTTGAAGTGGGGAAACCATACGAGGACGAAGATGGTATATTGTTCCTGTAAAAGAACAACCAACATATCCTGAAGTTAGCAGAGACTTAAGTTCTGTTGCAGATATTCGAAACGACTACCAACAACTTAAAGACAAACTTCAAACTCAGGAGAAGATTTGTCAAGCTTTAGGTATAATGTTAAACTTGGTCGAACACAACCCTGTAAAAGTGAACTCATATGTCATCGCACCTCATGAAGTTTTGAAAGAACTATTGAAACTTTTGACAGAGGCAGACGATATAAACATCAAAGAAATAGAACCGACGTTAGTTGCTGTGGTGTTTCATATAATGTCATTGACAAGATATACGTTATGAAAGGAGGTGAAACGTTGAACTTAAAATATAGTTTCCCAGACGTTATAAAAATATTTGACGACCACAACATTTCATTAAAATTTATTTGCTAAGTAAATGGCAGAAGACATAATGGTTTATACTATTACGACTAAAAACCTGAGTCATATAATTCTATAACAACAAACTTACAAAGTCTCAAGGACGGTATTGTAAACTAACCTTAAACACAATGACGACTAAAGCCTGTTTTGCTCTTTTGACACCAGAAGACTTTATTGTTGTGAATGGTAAAAAATACTCTTTGAAGATACTTACTCAGATATACACCAACAGGTTTTGTTGACTTATTTAATACTTTAAGGACGAGTGTAACATGTGCTGCAACTAGAGCAGGTTTCATTATTTGGATGTCCGACTGAGTTTACTATAAACAATATGAGCTATAATACAAAACTTATATCTGGTTTTTACTACCAACAGTTTCCTATAACAGGAAAAGGTGTCATACAAGGAATGTCTATTCCATTGACTTAAGTACACCTATTTTATATATTGTTTCAAACTTAGGTTCAAAGTGTTATTCGAATGTCGACAGAAACTACTATGACCAAAAGATACTTATGCGTATAAACAATACTTTCTCTGCTGGTTTGCCTATTGTTCATTCGAATGCAAGAGTTTTCAGCTTTGTAAACTCAAACACTTTAGCAAACATAAACTTAACCTTAGTTGACGCAAACTTTGTTCCTGTAAAACTTTTATGTCCTATGTATTTGTCAATGACGGCAGAAAGTTTCGAATTGGAAGATGCAACTGGTGAAAGTATTGTATTACAAGAACAACTTCAACAACAAATAGCTCAAGAACAACAAATGCAACAAATAGCTCAAGAATAAAAAAAAATATTTTTTTTATTTTTATAAA